AAAAAAAAAAAAAAAAAAAAAAAACAAGCACACATGACACGAACACAGGCACACAGGCTTGTGGGACTGGTCCAACATGCTAATAACAATTGGAAATATTAACGTACGAACTTCAAAGTTCAGAACTTTGAATCTTGAACTAGCACACATGACACAAACACACACACACACAAAGAGCGAAGTTTTGCACCCGCTCCAACCCCCAAGTATCCCGCCTCAGCCGCTCGACTCTAATTGTTTGCATTTCTTGTGGCAAGACAGCAACCTTCTCGTCGGCGGCAATCTCCTGGACTCGTGGGCGATGGAGGAGCTTGAGCTGGTGATGGCGTGGCTCCAACGGGCAGGAACTTCGAGGAGAGGGCTGCTACAGCAGGCGGAGCGCTGCTGCACGAGGCGCTTCGTTCGAAAATGAGGTCCTCCCACCGGAGGGAAACCAACACCAGGATACTGCGGCTGCTACATCCCTCCAAAGTTGTCCAACAGCGGGCCCTTCAGGGCTGGTCCGGTTGGGGTGATGGTCGGCAAAAAACTACAGCAACAATTTTCTTGGGTACCCCAGGCCCAGGAAAATGGCCTAGGACCCCAATTTTTTTTTCCCAATTTCTTGAAATGAGGGTCCAATCGGACCCTCCAAATCGGACACCGGACACCGGACCCAGACATCGGACATCGGACACCGGACACCGGACTGTCTGGATCGGGATCCAGACATCCGGTTGGCAACCATGGTTTTTCATTGCCTTAACAATTTTTAAGTTGTTTATTTCAGTATAGTAAATCTATCTATATGTATTGTTGAAAAATAGCTAAAAAAATAGCTAATGCAATTGTTGCTTTTGTATGTTGAAAAAACATTCGCGTGTGGCTCGCCAGAGTTGGAAAATTTGTTCACGTAGATCTTGTGTTTTGCCTAAATTTGTCGCTTACTATGCACAAGTTTATAATGGAAAATATTTTGTTGGTTTACAGATTACTGAAGATATGGTTGGTCAAATTTGGAGAACCTGCTTCTACATGTAAAACTTAAAAAACAAAAACGAAACAAAAAAAGAAAAACGAATAATGACACCAAAATTTCAAAAAGTCAATCCAATCTCAGTCAGACTCAATGTGAATCATTAGTCCATATTCGTGTTGGCTTAGTGAGGGCAACCGTGCAAGTCACTGAATGAATTGCCCACTTTGGCGTAGTCAAGTGGGACGTTGTAGATGTCTGCAGTGAGACGGAGACGGCTTATTTCATGCGTGGAGCATGCATGAAAGACACTTCGAATGACGAACTCATTCCGGGGACCATAGCCTGTAGTGAAAGGAGATCACTGGATTTAGCCTGTCCTTGAAGATCTCCAATCGTGTCTCCAAGATGCAGTTGAACGGGGAGTTCGTCGACGTGAGGTGTAGGTGGGATAGCAGACCAAACGTGGCAAGGCACAAAGCAACGTATTCTCTGTATTTAAGTTGATTATTGGCATTATTGGCATACTTACCGGCACAAGTAGAGAGCCTAAGTCCAATATGGACCTAACACACCTGAAGCGCACTGCAAACTCAATCTTAAATGAAAATGAAAAAGACGAGAGCATACGGTGGACCGGTGAACCATTCGAATCTCTTTGCGAATGGGGCGGAGGGCTCGTAGTACCTTTAGTTACAGCAACAGCCTTGCAATAGGCACGCAGCACAACACTTGTCTAGTTGTGTACACAGTCAGCAGACGAGAAGGAGCCTTATTTGACGATATATATGTAAATATATATATATGTTGCGGTTTCCACGGCTGCAGTTTCCACCGGTACAGTTTCTACGGCTCCGGTTTTCACTCCGACTCTGCTACTGCAGTTTCCACTGCTGCGGCTCCTACTACAACTTCCTCTGCTGCAGTCTTCAGTACAACATTTTGTATAGCTTGCCGTACTATGCTTTTTGCTGCTACAACTTCCTCTGCCACAGCTCTAGTCCAAAGAGCATCACAGTCTCTCCGACACTCACGACCTTTGTTTCAAAATTTTGAGCAATCCACCCTCCATACACCTCTTTCTGTGCTTGGCCATAGACGGCACGTTCGTGCTCACCACCCCCATCTCGTCCACGGTCTTGCTTGCCAACAGACTCTCCACTTTCCATTGTTCCAATTGTTCCACCCTCGTTGCCAAGGACATGTTCATCTTCTGTTTCCAGCACCACTACTCCTCTTATTGAGCATCATCGATGACATGCACAGCATCGTCACTTGTCCGGGGATCAGCAGCCTGTTCCTTTGGCTGCCCCAATTCTCTCTATGCCTGCTCCGCAGGTTGTAGCGGTTCCTTTGTTCTGGTGGCATCGTCACTTGTTCAGGGATCAGCAGCCTGCCCCAATTCTTGCTATGCCTGCTCCAGAGGTTGTTGCAGTTCCTTCGTTCCAAATGGCGATATCCGCCCCTATGCCTCTTGCAGACAGTCCATCTGCCTGCAGGCAGCCACAGCACCATGATGCACTTCAGCATTAGATATTCACTACTCACCTGTACAACAGGATGTGGGCCCTCGCAAGAGTACACTCCCGATTCCAGGGACAGTCCCTACTCAGGATGCGGCCCCAGACATTGAGGGATTGGAACATGACCAGCATCATTTGGATGAACCACAAATTTGTGCCCCGCCACGCGCGGACCACACGGGTGATCTGCAAATGACTGACCGACAAACAACCCAAGACATTTTGGGCTTGCAACACCATCTGGGTGATCTGCAAATTGTTGGCCAACATCCGGCACACCAGTTTGAGACCCTCACCAATCTCTGTGGTCTGACTGCAACTAATATATGTCGTCATATTCTCCACCGCCTGTTATATACACCATCAGACTTCCTTGCAATCTCCCTTCAGCTTGATGCTGATCTCCCCCCCCTACAAACAGAGGATTGTAATTATACCAGTACCATTGCTGTCCTACATCCTCTTAGCGCACGAGAATCTCGACCGTCAAACCCTCGACTTCCGACAGCGCGTAGTCAGCATGACGCCTCAGCGTGGTGCCGCCCTTTCACGCTCATGTGTGACAAGCAGGGCAGCTGGTGACAGCGATGGTTAGCTGCGATGGCGTCTGGATTAGCGCTTCGATGCAGCGCTTACTGGTGGCACGAGTGCAATTTTTCTGAGGACCCGTGTTTCTCTTTTTGCAAAGTTCCAGTGTTTTGACCTTCTTCCTTTCTGCAAATGTTACTGTTTCTCCTTTTTCAGGAGGTTACTGTGTGATAATTGGCTGATTTTCTAAAGATTCAGTGTGAACTTGTTGGGTTGTGTTTCCTTCGCCTCTGTGGTTTTGCAGGATTTTGATCGGCTCATGTGTGCGAATCAAAAGGACTGTCAATTCCTTGGTGAATGGCTGGCCACTCGGGGACCATGCCCCACTCATGCATGATTGTGTAGGAATTCTGAAAGCCTTCACAGAGGATGGAAATGCGCTTGTCAATTTCTCTTTCCAGATGGAACCCTTGGTCCTTCATCCTGCGGAAATTGAGGTAGCCCCGTCGTTCCGCGAGGGTGACTTCGTCAAAATCAAACCGTCAATTGTGAAACCGCGATATGGTGGCTGGGACAGTGTAACACGACAGGAACTTGGGACCGTCAAAGTAGTTGATCAAGACACTGGAAAACTGCTCGTGCAATTTGAGGACAAGTCAAACAATCAGTTTGCCGACCCCGGAGAAATGGAAATTGTGGAGCGTCCCTTCAGGAAGGGGGATTGGGTTAGGATGAAGCACTCAGCGGTGAAGTTTCGGACCGATCTGAAAGGTGTGAGCACATCAAGTCTGGGAATTGTGCAGGCTGTCGAATCAGATGGAGGAAAGGTAAAGAAACTCAAGGTAGATTTCTGCTTCTACCAATCTGGCGTGCTTGTCGCAGATCCGGATGAGATGGAGAGAATCGACCCTCCACCCTTTTGCGTAAATGACCGTGTGAGGGTCAAAGCGACAGTCGTTGAACCACGATTTGAGTGGGGTGGAGAAGGACATGGAAGCATTGGTCCAGTTGCTGAAATTCGTGGTGATGGGCTACTCAAGGTCCAGTTTTATGACCGGTCTGACCTTTGGGTGGCAGACCCTGCTGACATGGAGGTCGTCTGTGGAGCTCGAGCATTTCGTCCAGGCGACTGGACATCAGTCAAGAGATCTGTGATTGAGCCCAAGTACAAGTGGGGAATCGCAAACAAGAGCAGCATAGGCATCGTTCGCAGGGTGCGTGAAGATGGAGAGTTGGAAGTGAACTTCTGCTTCCAGGCAAACCCATGGCTTGCCGACCCAGGCGATATGGTTCTGTTCGACCCCCCCCCTTTCCGCGTCGGAGACTTGGTAAAGGTGAGGAAGACCGTCATGGAGCCGAGATATAAGTGGGGGGGGGTAACCCATGATAGTGTTGGGCCCATAGTGAGAATCAGAGACAACGGAAGTCTGGAAGTGCAGTTCCCCAACCGTGCAAAGCCATGGTTGGCAGATCCAGGGGATATGGTAGTTGTACCTCGAACGTTTCGAAAAGGTGATTGGGTGCGTGTCAAGATGTCAGCTTGGAAGAGTGTGGAGGCTGATATGGCGGAAAACTTCAAGGACAGACAGGCCAGCCTTGGAATCGTGCAGGGTGTAGAAAATGGGAGGGTGAACGTCAGTTTCTGTTGCACAGAACTTCCTGTTGCTCTGGAGCCTCCTTTTTTGGAGCTTGTAGAACCCGAGCCATTCAGGATAAACGACCAGGTGCAGGTGAAGCCGGAAGTGAAGGTGCCGCGCTACAAGTGGCATGGAGAATCACATGAGAGCATGGGGCCTATCATCGATATCACTGAGAGTGGCTTATTGAAAATCCAGTTCCCACATGGAAGTGGCATCTGGCTGGCTGATCCTGCAGACATGCATGTGGCACTGCCCGCAAGGCCGTTTCACGTTGGCGACTGGGTGGCTGTTAAGCGGACGGTGATGGAGCCTCGCTTTCGGTGGGGATCAGTGAAACACTCCAGTATAGGCATTGTACAGGTGGTGAGGGAGAAAGGGGTCCTTGAGGTAGCCATGTGCTCACAAATGAAGTTGTGGTTTGCTGACCCGGCTGATATGGCACTCTATGACCCGCCTCCTTTTGCGATTGGAGACCAGGTGAGAGTGAAAGCAAGTGTGAAAGAGCCTAGGTTCGGTTGGGGAGGGGAGACTCACATGAGTGTGGGGCCAATTGTGAATACAAGGCAGAATGGGTGCTTGGAAGTGCAGTTTTATAACCGGGAGGACGCGTGGCTTGCAGATCCAGCCGACATGGAGGTCGTTCTCCGGCATCGGCCCTTCCGCAGAGGCGATTGGGTAGGGATCAAGCGCACAGTGAAAAAGCCAAAGTATGATTGGGAGAACGTGGCAAAGACCAGCATTGGCATAGTGTCCGGCGTCCGAGGTGACGGAGGAGTAGAAGTGGAGTTCTGCTTCCTCAAGAGACCTTGGTTTTCCGACGCTGCAGACTTGGCGCTGTATGACCCACCGCCATTCAAAATAGGAACCAAGGTGAGAGTACGATCTTCAGTGAAGGAGCCAAGGTTTCACTGGGGTGGGCTATCCCACATGGACATCGGAACAGTTGCTGGAGTAAGAAGAAATGGGTTGTTGGAGGTGCAATTTGGATCACGGAGAGAGCTCTGGGCTGGAGACCCTGCGGATATGGTGGCTGTTGTGGAGAAAGCACAGCCAGAAGAGAGCACGCTGAAGGCATATCGATGGGCCAGAACCATGAGCGCGAATCTAGGCTCCCTGAGTGACATGATAAGAATAAGGAACAACCGATTATCCCGTTTTTCTCGGAACATGACCACTGCTGTCGTGTTCTTCTTGTTGTATTGGCTGCGGGGGAAAGTGCTTCTCTTTCTTCTCTATGTCTTTTCCCTGTACCTAATTTTCTTCAGGTAAAGATTTTTTCATTGACTTTCCGTGGGCCTTGTCAAATTCTTCGTCTGTTAGTGTTCATCCACTTTCCGTTGACCTCATCGTCTTCAAGTAAAGGTGTACTACATCCATGAGTGTTTGAGCTAGTGTCATTCAGATATCACACCCCGGGATTGTACTTCGGTAACTGCTGCCAAACTTTTTTGTTTGCTTACGTTCTTTTTTCTTTCTTTTTCGCTCCTTTCTTTCTTTTCAAGCTGAGCTTCTTGTTCTCATATTCTGTATGCCCCAGATTGCGCTACAATATGACTCAGTACTGGCGCAGCAGGCTCTCGCAACTCGCTAGCCTTCCAGAACAGGGCTAGGAGTCCAGAACTGTAGGCCGCGGAATCCGGAGGTCGTTCGTTCGTTATCAGATGGTAATATGAATCGCTCAAGACAGTTGCCATCTGATTTCCTACACGCAAGTCGACTGGAAGATGGGAAGGGCATTTGCGCTACATGGGTAGGAAATCAGAAACCTTAGGAGGAACCTTTAACGAACTGCTCGAGTCATTGGCACTCATTGTGAAGTTGTGAACGGTTGAGAATCACACTCTTTGTTGGTACCTGTAACCCAGTACCTCGTTTTGAGGGCGGTCCGGACATCCTAACATGTCCAGGGGCAGCTGCAAACTTGACATTGACTGGCTATTGAAGAGGTGACCGGTGGTCTGTACCATTGCTTGTTAGAGAACTGTAGATTAATGTCGTCCTCAAGAATTAAGAGCAGAGAACACACATGCTGTGTGTGTGTGTGTGTGTGTGTGTGTGTGTGTGTGTGTGTGTGTGTGTGTGTGTGAGAGAGAGAGAGAGAGAGAGAGAGAGAGAGAGAGATGGATGAGAGGGAGGACGAAGGAGAAAGTGGAGGACAGCAAATGCCACTGTGCATTTGAAATAGGCAAAACTGGGTGTCAATTCTGTTGACAAAGTCATAGTTCAGTGCGGCCCTGGCCTGTTTACCATGTAACAGTTCAGTCATGGCTGAGAGCACGTAGACTGCACAGGCAAATCTGATTATGCAGAGTGGCGATGGCCTGTTGCAGGCCATCATGCAGCGGAGAGAGAGTGTAAGAATTTCAGATCAGAGTATTATCACTTGGCCAGCATGCTTCTCAGCCATGGCTCTGGGATAGTGTGCAAATTGATCAGTCAGTGTTAGGTGATGAGAAGGCCGGTTTGTGATGCGGTTTTCCTGCAAATGCTGCAGATTCGTCGAGTGCTCATGCAGACGAGGTAAACTGGACTGAGAGTACCTCTTGCTACTGTACCCAACAGGACTCAAAACTCTTGATCTGTTTATCAATAGTTACATATTTGTCGCATTCACCCACAAGGCAGGTATGAGAAGTAGAACATCCTTTCTATTGGTAGTACCATGGTAAACAGAGCGGGTCGGATCATCAAATACAATACAGCCACCTGACATGTTCGTTGGAACATGCAGTCGACTGCTCATTGGGAGAACTGGGAGAGGTCAAGTTTTCGTGAAGGTGCCCCACTGTTAATTGCATGGCTCATGCTGCGGGTTACACTGATTAGATTAGAGCCGGTTCACTCTTCAGCACAAAATCTCTGCATTGAATTATGCAAAAAAGTGAAATAAATGTAACGACCAGGTGCGAAGCGAACCGTGTGAAATAGTTGCTCATTACACGGCTCACAAACTCTACTTGCTTTGAGTTCTCTTACCTATTTGGCATGTTTTCACTGGATCAAGTGACCAGTTTCCCCCATGGACCAGCTTGAGATCCCCACCAATCTCTGTGGCCTGACTGCAACTAATACCTGTCTTCACATTCTCCACTGCCCGTTTTATACACGTCAGACTTTGTTGCAATTTCCCTTCAGCTTGATGCTTATCTTCCCAGCCTACAGCCAGAGGATTGTAATTACACCAGGAAAATATGATTTACCATCGCTTTCCTACAAGTAGCAATGAGGGACTGCCAACTTCAAGTACGCAATGCTCTAGCAGGCGAGTGGTTTAATCCTCCATCCCACATCTCTGCCTGCATTGTACATGGACCTGGCCAGTACATGGCCATTGCACCGCCTCTGACAACTGGGAACTGTGGGATAACGGCATCATGGTCCATGCCATGACTGATGGTTTTCTTTTTTTTTTCTTTTTTTTTTTTTTTTTTTTTTTTTTTTTTTTTTTGAATAAACTCCCTTCCAGTGCTAGTGGTGCTGGTAAGAGCAGACACCACTAGCACCTGAGGAGAGGCTCCATCTATTGGTGGGGAGCATCACCTGCTGGAAAACGGGTCCAGCGTCCCAGATACAGAAAAGATTTGGAGTATGTCACGAAAAGGAGAGCGGGAGTCTCCTGCCAGCATTGATTACTCTGGAATCCAGAGGATTGACTGAGCAGGAGTGTGTGGAAAAAGAGAAGGCCTCTTCGCCTTGAACCAGGCGCCAGATGTCTGCTGCTAAAAAAACTAGCTCTTCCCCTTCTGCCGATCTCCAACTACAACCTCGAACATCTGAGGGACCAGCGTCCCCTGCTGGAAAACGGGTCCAGCGTCCCCTATACACAGTGAATCAAGAGGGAGTTTAAGAAGATGTCAGGATCGTAGATACCACCGCCTCTTCAGTCTGCGTCAGACCGCCACCGCCTCTTCAGTCTGCATCAGACCGCCAGATCCCACATGTTTCCCTAGCGGCTACTTCCGCCAATTCCTTCCATATACTGTTGTCTGGGGCCTTGCTCACTCTGCACCGTACCATTGCATGTCGACCATTGCCAGCTGGTGGGATGGGAATGGATCAGGAAAATCAGTGGATGGTCGCAGCGGGATCTCCTGTCCCACCGTGGTCCTTTCTGAAGCTGATGAAGTAATCTCTCCTGAACTCGTCCTGGTGGCATTCCTTAGCGGGTGCACCGTCCCATTGGACGAAAGCAATCCAGCCCCCATTCCCACTGCCCGACCAATCCCCCGAGAATTGCTGAATTGCTTGTTTTATGGCTTTGGATGTCTGAAACATATCCAGTTGGTTTTTGATTTTTTGCCACTGTACCTTGAGTTCTTGTTGGATGAACTGTTTTATCATGTTTGTTACTTCCTCCCCAGCTATGCGGACCCCCTCTATTGCAAGGATACAGCGTTTTCTCCAGAGGGCCCACATGACAGCTCTCCTCCCTAACTTGAACATATTGCTTTCAAAGGTGTTGTCAGTGGGGGAGGACCATGTTTCGCATAATATGACTCTCCAGTCCCATGGCCAGTTGGAGTTTGTGGCTAACCGTGTCCAGATTCTATCCCACCACGCCATATAAGCACAGCTCCCGGACACTGCATGAATATATGCTCTATGGTTTCCGGGATTCTGCGGGAGGGGAAGGCAGTGTGACACGACTTACATCATGGTAGCGCCCGTCCCTTTTGCTATAGATATGTACGGTCGATCAGCCAGTCGTTGGTGGGCAGGCAGCGATGTTCTATCTGCCATTGTAGCAAGGCCATCTTCGCTAACTTGGACTTTGTGGTGGAGAACCATCGGATGGGGCGGATTACTTCAGTTCCTACATTCATGTGAGACCTCCATTGATCCTTCACCCTTTCTTTTATATTCACTTTTGGTCGCAACAGCCGATAGGTGGCCTTCACCGTTAAGGAATGCAGCTTCATGTTCTCCCCGGTCTTGTGTTTCCGCGGGGGGGACCACTGCCACTCCTCGGGATCAATTGGGAGCTCAGCCACGGGAGTGTCTGATTGGTATGCGATTCCCACATCTTTGTCCTGTAGCACACGGATCCTGTGCAGGTCAAAGTTTCTTCACCATCTCACCACGCCTGGGGTGTACCGGGTGAGCACATTATCCTTACCGATGTGGAAGAGAACGGTCAGGGTTTCGTCCGCATGCACCTCTACCACGTTGCCTACACTCTCCGGATCGCCCGGGGCTGCTACCCAGTCCTCTTCTGCCAACCGCGGTCCTTTGCGCAGGATACGGACCCAGTCTAGGGGGATGGCGAAAATCAAGGTTTCGATGTGTTCTTCCACTTTGTGGCAATACTTTAGTGTGCTCCTTAGTTGCTGCGCAGGTTTCCAGTCTCCCACTTGTGTGTTCCATATATATTTTATTCTGGTTATACCTTTTTAACCCAGATGTTCCATGGGGTGCTTGAACTGCAGTACACTCTGCTGTTCCGGTCTGTTATCCGTCTGTTCCCAAAAAGGGGTTGGCGTGCCACCTCTTCCCATCTGGTTGGTGGGGGTATGTCGGGTAGCGGAAGTTGTCGCCAGGGATACAAAACTTGGGTCCAGAAATCGTCTCTGACCAAATCCGAGCAGGTTGTGTTTTGACCCGGAGCTTGCTCGTTTCGACGGGACCGTGGTATTGTCCAGTGAAGGTCTTCCAGCTAGGTTAGTGGGTTAACTCCCTGCGGTGCCTGCGGGGCAAGCCTAGCTATTTGTTCCAAAGCAAGGGCATGCCTTGGGGGGCGTTGAGTGAATAGCAGTCTCCGGATCCATTGAATTGTTAATGCCTTAAACTGGGTATCCGGGTCTAAGATCCCCAGGCCCCCTTTGTCTTTAGGTTGAATCAAAGAAAACCAGACTACCCTGCTAATAGCATATGGAAGTTCTCCGTTGCCTCTCCATAGCAGGGTTGTTACCTGTCGCTTTAGTGATCGAACAACCTCTTTGCTGAGCGTCGAGATTGCAGATTTATACCAGAGGGCCGCCAGTATCACGTTGTTGATCGCCAGTGCCCTACCGATAAGAGAGGTATGACGGTCTTTCCAGTGGGCTAACTTCTCTAGAGCGGGCTTTAGAATCCATTCGTGATTCGATGCAGGCTTGCCTAGTGCTGTTAGCATGATTCCCAGCACCCTGACCGGGGCCGTTTCTGGGAGCCACTTGACTTGCGGAAGCTCGGGGGGGCGCGGCCCTTGATGGTGGATCCACCATCCCAGGGTTTTATTTCCCCAGTTGACCGTCATGTCTGAGACTGTTGTAAACCGGTCGAACAATCGCGTGATTTCTTCCATGTTTGCTGCAGTTGCGTCGACCATGAGTGTCAGATCGTCCGCAAACATCGAACAGATCGGGATTGCTTCTTCTGGGATGGCAGAAATCTGCAATTTCCTCAGGTCTTTGTTAGCTCGGAGGTTTGTTGTCAATACCTCCATCACTATTAAAAACAGGAACGGTGTCAGAGGGTCCCCCTGGCGGGCGCTGCAGCGGGAAGGGTGGCGCTATCCTTTCATTGAACACACGTGGTTGCGTTGTGGTGCAGTATTGCGGTCCAACGCCGGAAAACTGGCCCTATGTTCATTTTTTCCATACATTTGTCTAGGAATAGCCAGTCCACGTGGTCGTAAGCTTTTTCGAAGTCTATGAAAACCACGACAGCATTTTGTTTGTCCTGTCTTCTCAACTTGAGTAGTTCATTAACTAATAGTATGTTATCGTGGATCTTGCGCTCTTTGATGAACCCGGTTTGCGCCGGATGGATAATATCTTCCACGACCGGGAGCAGTCAGTTTGCTGTGAGCAACGTTATTGGCCTGTAGTACCTGTAGTTTCGAATGTCCATCTTGTCTCCCTTTTTGTGTAACAAAGTGAGAACACCTTGCCCCATCAGCTCCCCCATTCTCCCTGTTTCCCACACCTGTTGATAGAAGTCCATGAGGTCCGGAGTCATCTGAGTCCAGAAGGTCTCCCGTAATTCCTTTGGAAACCCATCAATGCCCGACGTCTTCTCTTCTTCCATCTGCATCATCGCCGTCCATATTTCCTCCTTGGACAGGGGACAGTCCAAATTTATTTTCTGCTGGCCTGTCAGGGTCTTCTCTAGTGGTGTCAAAAAGTCCGCAATTTCTTTCTCCCTAGCATTTCTCTCCTGTCGGGCACACCTTGAGGTGAACAGGTCTTGGAAAAAGGATCTTGCTATTTGTGTGCACTGGGGGGTGGACGTGATGATGTCTTGATATCCAGTTTGTGGATCATATAGTGCTTCGATGGTTGTTATGTGCGAGCGTACTCGGGCCATGCTGAAGATTTTTTTATCCATTGTTCCTTTTGTTTGGTACCTTGTCAGTCGACCTCTTATTCGTGTTCCTTCCCATCATTGCGTGGCGAAAGCCTGAAATCATTGTCTAAGTGTTTGAATCTTTGAGTATGCATCTGACTGTAAATTTTGGATGTCGTTAGGCTGGTCCTGGTGCTCAAGTTGTTGATGTAATTCCATCTCCTGTAGATGTTTTTTGGCTGCTAATAGTTTAGAATATTCTTGACATTTCTTACCTAGATAGAATAAACCGTTATTGAACCAGTCTATTGCCTGTTGGAAGTGCTGTTTTTGCATGTGCCAGTACTTCCAGCAGTCCGCAATGTAGCTGTGAAAGGCTTTCTGTTGCAAAATGTAGGTGTTGAGTTTGTAGAAGCCCGGTCCCCAATCAGGTTTCTTTCGAAAGGATAAAGTAACCGTGCACATTTTGTGGTCAAGGCCCGGGTATGGGCTTGCAGGCAAGATTGCTGCTAAAAGCAGAGATCCCCCCATGTCTTCCGAGATGAGGATTAGATCAATCCTGGATTTTGACTGGCTTTCAGTTCTCGTCTTCCGTAAACATGAGTAAAATCTTGTATCTGGATTCAATTTCCGGAAGGA